GCTATAACAATTTAATATTATTAAATATAAAGCGGTTGTGTTGAGACAACCATTGCATATTGATGCACTGTTGTTTTAGTTATAATATTAAACAGTTTTTTTTTTCATAACTATTTTATATTGCTAGTATTGTACATTACAAAATCAATATCCATTACACAAAAATAGAATTTTAGAAGCCAACAACAATTATATACCTAAAATATAAATATGAATTCCTACATAAAAGCTATTTACAACTTGAAGTTGTTTAAGTTAAATCTATTAATGAAAAAAATAAAGCTCTAAATCCTAAAAATTGATTAAGTATACATATATATCATTTATGTCAACTTTATATATATATATATATATATATCTATGTCGTCTATTTATTCACTATTGTTGTTTTTTATTGATAAAGCTAAACCATACTTGAAAAATACTATGTACTAACTCTTCAGTGACTTCTTCTATTTGATCTTTAGTGGATGTGTCAGAGTATGTGTCTTTATAGTATTGCATGCAAAAACAACAACAAAAAGTTAGAGTCATATGAATTAATAACCATAATATAATGATGAAAATGTTGACAATATATGCCTGCCTGCACACATACACCCCCACCTTATGGTATGGATGACGTAGCATTAATGGCAATGAAGTTTGAGGATGGCAAGTATAAGCATAGTGACATGAAAGAAGCCCAACACAAGGAGTAAGGAGCCCAACATTTTCAATCCAACATACCTAAAGACCCTATACAATATATTAGAGATCCAATGACAAGAGCTCGAACTAAAGTCATAAAGCAAGCCCTGTTCAATCCTGTATAAGAAGTCCAAGAGCTTAGAGAGCATTGTGACACTCCTCTCAAGCCTAAAGGAGAGCATCTTAGCATGAATAATATGCTTAAGATCCAAATTCATGAAGAGTTAAGTTTAAGAGGTGCAAACCATAGCTCGATGTAAGAAAGACTATAAGTGAAACCTCTTGTAAGTAAGAAGGCATGAAAACCTAATGAAAAGGTCAAGGGTGGCATGATTTTGAGTCCTTTATGATTCCTTGATTGTCTCTTAATTTAGTGGTCCTTTGACTTGACTTCCTTTCTTAAGGACCAAAACTAGTCATAATTTTCTATTTTGAGTCTAATCAAAGATTATAATTCATTATATTATTTTTTAAGTTTTGTAATCTCATAATTTTAGGATCACATCTCCTAAATTATGTGACTAAATATTTTTCCCTTATTTTATATTATTTTTGTTCTCTTTTTAGTGTTAGAAAATTAGAGTTTTAATTTTAAGAAATAATCTTCTTTATGAACACACACACACACACACACACACACAAGGTGTGCTCCTTTTTGTAAAGGGAAGAGAAGTTGAATGAAATTATTTATTTTTGAGTTTATGACTCTTGTGAGCCTCAATGCTTCATGGTAGCACCCATGTGAGAAACGAATATCATCAAGAGCTTGATCAATTCTTATGGTGTCTTCAAAGGTTGAAGTTCCTAGAAGCATCTTCTCCTTAATCATTATCTCTTTGTTTATTTCATTTCTTTCTTTGTTTTTATCATAAATTTTATCCCTTTCTTTTTGTTCTTGTATTTTTGTTTTGTTTCAGGGTTCTGTCCTTAAACTAACATGATTCCACTTTCACGTCCCCTATCACATATTGTCTAGGAGAGTCCTAGTAAGAGCATGTATCCTTCATGAATTTAATGATAGCTTAACCATAATCCATTGTAGGGTCACATAATGGATAAAAAAATTAATCAGTTAATGAGATGACATGACATATGATTTAGTTGCTAACATAATTAATGATAAATGCATATACCTTTATAATAGTCTATTATGTTATTGTGTCAAAGTGACCATTATCCCTTATTAGTTGTTGAAACTATTAATTGACCTGAGTGTAATATATGACAATAGCCTTGATGTACAATAGAAAATTTGATATGAAAAATATTCAAACAAAAATTAAAGAACAAATTATATACATAAATACACGAAACTTAATCAATTTATTGATTAATAATCTCCATTATATGCGGCTTATTACTGGGATGAGCAATTTTATATCATTTTTAGAGCAATTTTATAACAAAATGATAACTAGAACTAAGAGGATAAGCAAGCATGTAACACAATGGTCGTGATCTATGAAGAAAAAAGTATAGTTCCGACCTCCATAACAAATAAACGGAACCAAACTCTTAGAATAATGCAATATTTAATAACAAAAAACCAGGCTACCCACAGCCAAATGAGGGGAGATTAGGGGAGAAAGGAAGTGGTAGAGCAACGGTGGTTAAAAGGCGAGTAATATAGTGGAGAAAAGTCCCACAGCAAAACACTCAAAATTGAGAGATGAGCCATGGAGAGAAAACAACCCCATGAGTATGTGACACTACTGTCGAATAGTATCAAAATTAATAAAAACTAAATTTTACAGTAAAACGCAACCTAAATCATCTCCCCACAAGTCAATAGAATAACTATTTAAATTATAATTATGAAAAGCTAAAAAGTGAGGGTTTTTTATAATAAAATTAATTAAAAAATATAAATTAAATTAAATAAATAAAGAAAATTCAACTAAAAAAATTATCAAAAACAAGCAGCGCAATCAATTATAATCCAATCACCTAAACTTAATTTTCCTCATCCACAAAATAAATTAATTTACTTAACTTTATTATTCTGGTTTTATTATATATTTTTTAAATTATCATTTAAGAATTAAATAAAAAATTAAGTTATAGATTAATTGAGATTTTCTTTAACTCACAACCTAACAACTATTCTAAGTTAGCCACACTGAAAACAAAACATGAGTAATCACCCAAGCTAGATCAAATTACTCTTACAATGCTATATCAATTAATTATAGCAAATAAAACCTCAGATGAAATTTATAGCCTAAAAATTATGCAATAAGGCTAATCTAATCAGCAGTAACAGTTAAAGTATAAAACTTAAGGTAGAGAGAAGAAGAGCAAATTGAAATAAAGCTAAAATAAAATCTTCTCTAAATATAAAAAGCTCTTATTAAAGTTTAAAATTGTAGTTTATGATTGATCATACTAAAAAAATTAACTCTTTATAAAATAAAAAATCAATATATATAAAATGAGAAATTGACAAGTCACCGTTGGAGAAATTAAACAAAAAGATGAATCGCGACCGTTGCTACCTTATTTTCCCCCCTTCTCTTCGTAATAGTCGTGCTTTATATATATATATATATATATATATATTTGCGTCTCTTATGCCTACGGCTAAAGCAAAACTATCAATAATTTAATAAAATGATAAAATTATCGTGAATAACCCTAATTAAAAATTACACTAAATAAATCAAAATAAATTTAAATAAAATTTTAAAGATTTAATTCTTGAATTGATCTCCAAGTATGCTCATATTTTTTTATTTAAAATATTTTTTATTAATATCTTTTAAATTAAATGTAAAAAATCTTTACAAATAAGATAAAATTAAATAGCAACTGTGTAAAAATATTAAAAATATTATTTATATTTTAAAATTATAAATTTAGATAGTTAAAATTTCAAAATTGAATATTGACTAATAAAATTAAATAATATTTAATTAAACTTAATTAGTCTCAAATAAATATTTAAAAATTTAAATTAAAAAAAATAAAAATATATAAAATTATTATTTATCAGCATGCATGGCGACCAAAGAACAGAGACAAGAGATGAACGTAACTCAAGGCTTTTTTGGTGTGGAGGACGGTAGGGAATAGTAAAACATGGTGGCTTTTGAAGTTTCATTGGTGGGGGATTGAAAGCGAGATGATAAGTGTAATTTTCAATTTTTTCAAAACGGAATATAATGGGATTTGGGGAGAGTAGGAAAAGCTTTTTGAACGAAAATACTAAACGGTTTCTAATAAGAAGTACTCCATCCATTTTTATATATATAAAAAAATTATATTATATGATTTAAAAAAATTAATTATTCATAATAATTATGTTTGAAAATAAAAAAATTAGACTAAAATATCCCATATTAATTAATATAAGCATATATTAATTATTTTTTATTAATATAAATTATGAAGGGTGATTTAAGAAATGTATAATAAATATTTATTGAAATAGATGATTTTACTTATATAAAAAAATAATAATTTTTTATAAATAAAAATACAAAGAGTATGTAATAAAGTAACAAAATACTTAATGATTTTGACTGGAGAACCATTTAGTATTTTGGAGACGTCATCCGCGTGGAAAGAGATAGATAACCGTTTAGTATTTGTTTAAATACAGAATGATTATTCCTGGAACCATTAAATATATTTTTTAAAATCCTGCCTTCATTTATTAAACGGTTTTTCTTATAATCGTTTAATAAATGGCATTATATATTGTCATATTTATAGTAGTGTTTAAATCTTATGATCTAATCCTTGCATTGTAAATTTCAATGTTTAATTAGACAATCTATTAATATTAAAAGTTATAACTAGGAGAAAGCAAACTAATTAAGTGAGAGAGGTCTTTTACTCCACGTAAGTTTCTTCATAATCCTAAATGCATGATGTCTAAGATATATATATACCACGATAACAGGAAGAAATTAAACAAAATTATGCACAAAATCAATATCAATAATCAAGATTTTGCTAAGTAAATAATATGCACCTACTCATACCCATTAAATTACTTGGTATGTTGTTGATAACTAGGGAATATTGGTTGCAACATGATAAGTAACTTTTGAAATTAGGTACTTCCTCATATGGTAATAGTAATACTTTTTTTTTTTAAATTATTTACAGATATCGTTTTATTAGAGGCAATTATATTTGAAGGATGTTAAGATATTAAATATAGACATCTTTTTTAGTAAAAATTTAAACCTTAATTTATTATTTTATGAAGAACTAGCTTTTTTTATTAAATCTAACGGCGCCCCTTTTCTATCATTGTTTACAAAAATAGAATTATACATTGGCAGGACAACCAAAAACACGCATAATTTAAATAAGGGCTTTTATTTTTTTAAAAAACATGATACAAATATCTATGGGCTCTTCACTATATCAATTGCAATACAATTTTCGGGCCCAGGCCTACAATAGAGTAAAGGAAATAATTAAACAAGCTGGGTGAAAAAACTTCCAAGCCGAAGCAAACTATAAGACAGAATCCCTATATTCTGCCGCCTTCTTATTATTTCATGAAAAGAGAGCCATCAATTTCGCGTGCCGACTTCAAGAACTGAACGAAACGATCAAAATCAGAGTACGAGGACCCACCTTCTCGTACACTCGTTTTGGCTAATGTTGCCATGGCTTGCGTCGACTTCTCAAACTCTTGCCTCCTCTCAACCATGAGATCATTCACCATCTCCTCCACAAGCTTCCTATCACACACGTCCTTCATTTCCAACCCAATCTTCCACACCTCACTCACATACCTACTGTTTATCTGTTGGTCCGCAAAGTAAGGCCAGCACATCATTGGAACTCCGGCCGCCACACCCTCCAACGTCGAGTTCCACCCACAGTGTGTCATGAACCCGCCAATTGCCACATGTGCAAGTACCTCTTTCTGGGGGGCCCACCCCACCATGCGCCCTCTCTCCTTCGTCCCTTCCACTAGGTCCATCGGCGGATCCTGTCCTTCCTTTTCGGACAGCATGCCGGGTCGGATCACCCACAAGAATCGTTTCTTGCTGTTCACCAAACCGTGCCATATCTCCATGAGTTCATCTCTCGAGATTTTTGTTATGCTTCCGAAGCTCACGTATACCACTGATTTAGGCTGCTGAGCGTCTAGCCACGTCATGCAACTTCTATCAACTTCCCAGAGACTGCTCTCGAAGGAAGGAGGCGATGTCTCCGAAGACATTGTTTTGGTTGCTTTTCTGGAGTTGAGGTGCGCGTGGAGAGGGCCGAGGGCGTAGAATCTGGGAAAGTGGTGGCGAATCTGGGAGAGGACAGGTCCTTCCAAGTCTTCAAATGTGTTCAAAATTAGAGCTTGTGCTCGGAGGGATTGATGTGTCTCGAACACCACTGGCTCCAGAGGAATGTGACTCTTATGATTTGCTCGAAAGAAACTCGGGAGGTCCCGACACCGAACCAAGTTTTCCATACCAGGGATACTTGTTATCATGCGATCCATGTCTTGTTCCCCTTTAAGTCTTAACCCATGTTAATATCAAATCTTTCAAAAGTTCACTTTTGAATCTGAATGAATTCTGATAAGAGTTCTAGGGAGAAAAATACATACCTCGAATGGGCAGTTCGTTGGATTCAAATAATCTTGGAGCACAAAAATAAGCCCAAAAGCTGCAAGCACTGATGGTACGGAAGTAAACTACAGGAATCCCAAGTTCTTGTCCTACTTCGTTGGTGAGGCGTCCGAAGATCCCATCTGCTATGATGCAACTGAACCTGGGCTTTCCAGAAGCTTCCACGCAAATCTCCCTCAGCCGAGGCATGGCCATTAAATTCACTTGTTTGATTTGTTCACCAACGTAGTCTTCTTGTCGCCGGGGGTCATCGGAGGGAAGGCCGTCGGAGAAAGTCTTGAAGTGTAGAGTGGGATAGGCGGCTAAACGAGAAGGGATCTCGGCGAAACGGAGAAGACGCTGGTGGATGTGCTCGGTGTTGAGAACGGTGACATGGATGTCGGAAAGAACCAGAAGCTCGGCAAGTTGAAGCATGCAGTTAATGTGGCCTTGAGCCGGACAAGGAAACATCAAAACATGGGTTTCGCTTTCATGGTGATCTTCACTCATGTTGAACTATTTTCTTTCTTCCCTCCCGGCGATGGTATTTTGAGAAACAGAAGTTGGCGACGAGGTGCACAAAAAGGGGGAATTGAATGGTAGATGGAAGAGAGAACACGTCATTACCGAAGTGGATGAAGTAAGGAAAATTCAAAGCTCTCCACTTCCTTAGATATTCACACTACTGGCTTGATGGGTCCCCAGTGTGAAATAGTAGCCGTACAGACATTAATGTTCTGTTTGGAAGAAACAATACAACAGGAAAAAAATTATGAAAAAAAAAAGAAAGAAAATGGCTCTTTTTTTATCAATTCAGATGGGGGAAAAAAGTGCTGAAAAAAAAGATAAAAAATAGAGAATGGGGTCCATCTAATTTTTCTTTCCCAAAATTTTTTCTTTTGCATGCTCTGAGATTTTGAGAGGAAAAACTGTCCGTACCGCTTGGGTGGCTCCGCCGCCCTACTCTCCTCCCACTCCTCCAGCCGACTCGTCCACACCCTCCGCACCCGGCCACATTGGCATCAATGGCAGCCGTTACAACTGCGTCGTGCTGTCGTCAATTTGATTCAAAGCAGGTGTTGAAGATCAAGATTGAACGGTATATGCTGATTTCAAACTTGCTTTTGAGCATTTGTGCGGCTGTTTTGGAATGAATATATGGAAGAGTTTGAACCTGGAAGAGTTTGGACAGAATATAGAAGAGTCTGGACAGATTTCAAATTTGATTCAAGCGATTTAGAATATAATATGGTGGGGCTTAGCTCTAAATAAAAAATAATAATATAATTTAGTTTATTTTAAAATATAAATATATGGAAATATAATTTTTATCAAGTGATTTGATTTTAAATTATTTTTATGATGTTGATTTTGATATAACATTTACCTTCAATTTATTTTTATAAAGATAATTTTATAAAACTTGATGTATTCTAACATAAATACTCCCTCCATTCAAAAATATAATGTATTTTTAACTAAATTTTACTCTAATAAAATAGTTATTTGTCTTTAAAATAACTTTATTTTTTTATATTTATCTCTATTTAATAAGGTATTTTACTCTAAAAAATAAAAAATAATTTATTCTATAGGTACTTCTAAAAAGAAAAAAATATAATTATACTTTGAAATACTAAAAATATCTTACATTTTTTAACATTCAATCTCTTAAAAAATATCTTACATTTTTAAATAGGAGAGTATATTATATTTCTTGTGATATTTGTTCATTTTCTTTTTTCCTATTATTTTTTACTTATCCAAATATAAGGAGTGATAATATTTATTTTTAGATTTCTTTTCTTGGCATTTTTTCTTTCTATTTTTTTCTCTTAACTTTTCTTTCCATCCAAATAGAAGGTACTGGCTTAATTTTTATTTTAAAAATTATTTTTTCATTTCTAAAAATAAAAAAAAACTTGTTTGATTATTAGATTTAAATGTTTTCACTTGTTTTTAAAAGGCCAAAATACATAAAACTTTTTTAAATTTTGAGACAGTTACATATAACTTCTTTCACCTTTAAATATTTAAAATTAACTCCCTAATCTTTATTTTATTTTTTAAAACCCCTAAATTGATGAACTTTAGAGTAAAATATAGTGACCTCTTTTCTATTTTGCCAAAATTACAATGATTCCCCTATATTTTTAAAACATACACGTTAGTCCAGTTGTTTATACTATTAGAAATATTTCATTTAAGATTCTAAAATAGTTTTTTATTTGCAATTATATTAAAAATTTTAAATTTACTAATTTTCCCTTAAATATAATTGTCTACTCTCTCTCCTAATTTTAAAAAATTTATTAAGTAAATAATATTTAAATAAATAACTTTAAAAAATTTGTTTTAAAATTAATAAAATTTTAAAAAATAAATATAATTTATATTACAAAATTTATTATATCAAATAATTATTTTATTTTCAGCCAAAATTTTTTTATTCAATTATATTTTTAATTCTATTTTTAATAAATATGTTAAAAAGTTTAAAAATAAAAATATGCATTAATTTTTTGGGGTAATATGATTAATTTTTGGACAACATTTATATTTAAGTAGGAGTATTTAATCCGACATTTATAACTTGATAGTTATCTATCAATTGAATGAATGAATGAATGAAAATGAAAACTTAAAAATAGAGGGGATAGGGGATATTAGTATTTTATAACTATTCATATTAAGGGAGGTTTGCATAGGTTTTAAAAAATATATTAAAATTAGAAAGAAGATATATGTAACTGAGGTAAAATAAAGGGACGGTTAGAGTATTAAAAAATTTATTTAACTCAAATCTTTTACACACATATATATTATATATAGATGCTATAATCTTAAATTAATAGGGGGAATAACATCTTAAAAAATAAATTTATTTAATTTTAAATCCTTTTAAAAATAATTAATATTTTTCTTGAGTAAAAGTTTTGCTCTAGGTCTATCACTGTGTATGAGGAGAAATATTTAGGTAGATCAGGTGTACCACATTATTTATGATCTGTCTAATAAAAATATAACATCTAAATAATATTTAATAAAAATTGATTGTGATATTAATAATAGTAGAGAAAGAAAATGTAAGAAATTAAATATGTATTTTGTTATAAAAATAAAATTAATTATAAAAATGTCACAAAATTTTATTTAGATTACTTGGAGTATTTTAATTGGACAAGTTACAAATAACATAATGTACCTAATCTATCCAAATATTTCTCCTTCCTCCCTTCTTTCTCCCTTGGCAGATCCTGTCCTTCCCTTTTGATTAATTTGGAAAAATGACAATAACACACGTTATTAATTTGGGAAAGTGGCAAGAAAATCCCATCAAAATACATAAATAACAAGTAGGTCTTTTAAAATATCATAATTTTTCTAAAATCTCTGTGTATCTTTTTAGCATTAATGATTTTAGGTTAGGTAACTAAACTTTCTTGAGTTTAAAATAAAAATAACGGGTTTTGCTCTATTTTCTCAATCACAACTTTTATTTAAATTTTAAATAATCACAATTTTTATTTCGTGAATCGTACAAATTGAGTAAAAAATTATATCTTCTCAAATGAAACTATTTTAATAATTGACAAACAAGTTCTGAAAATAACTAGTTTCAATCATAACTTTTGTTTAAGTAATGATAATTTTGATTTTGTGAATTGAAAAAATTGAATAAGTTATCACAACTTTTAATGTGAATTTTCTTTTATAATTGAAATCCAAGTTCCAAAAATTACCAATAAGAACTCTTGTTTAAGGAATCATAACTTTTATTATGTCAATCATAATAATTGAATAAGAAATCATAACTTCATTTCCACATAAAATTTCTTTTATTATTTAAGTTCAAGTTTTAAAATAATTAATTTTATTCTATGAATGGTAAGAATTAAATAAGAAATTATAACTTCTCACATAAATCTCTTATGTTTTATTTTAAATAAAGTATAATTTAATCATTTAACTTAAAATCATTAATGTCGAAAAAGTACATAAAGACTTAGTGAAAATTTTGATATCTTAAAGAACTTGATTGTTATTTATATATTTCAATAGAATTTTATTGTAATTTTCTCTATTAATTTCATCTTCATCATATATAATAAATGTATAACAAATCATGTTATTTTTAGATATTAATTTATAATTTTAAGTAATGTATAAAAGTAAAATTACAGTATGGGTTTAAGAGCTTGCTTGAGCCCGTTTTTAAAAGGCTAATAAACACAGAGTTTTAAACACCAAAATCTTCTATTTTTTAAAGCATGATTCGCTCTATTTGTACCTTGCATGATTTATTTGATCCAAAATCTCTCACGCGCGCGCACACATATATTCAATAAATTGCCAAGTCTTTCTTAAATTAAATTATAATTAATTTCTTTCTTTTATTTTCTTCTTTAAAATCCATACCTCCAATTTATTAACAAAAATCATTTTTAAAAACTATTATTATTATTTTTTTAACCAGCAAAGTGCACCGAGCTGATCGTCAGTAACGTTGCATTCAACACTTGCATCCCGAAAAATGATATACAGTTGCTAGAGGAGGTGGAGGTTGAGTGACCAGACCGTCAGGTCCCAACTCTCTTGAAGCTAAAGCAGCCAGCCAGTAGGCAGCACCATTAGTACCCAATCTGGGCATGAGAGAAAATTCAGAAAACATGTCAAAAACAGCCGAAATGATACCATGATATTGCCAGGGGCATCCAGTCAAGCTCTTTGACAGTACAGCTTTGGATAAATCCTTACGGTCCATTTCAAATACCACATTAGAAAAATACCATTCCTCAGCAAGACTGGTAGTATTTTAGGATGCGAGAAGTTCATCATTAAGGAAAGCAGAATCTGCATGCACTTTCTCTGCCCACCCCATGAGGAACATACCATCAGAATTTCTCACTATGATTCCAATTCCAGCTTTTCTACTGCTGTTGCAAAAAGCACCATCGCAATTTATCTTGGTAATACCCCTCTGTGGATTCGTCCACTGGGCTGCAAGAGAGGAATGCGAATTCTCTGCAGGTGGTTCTGGAGGAATATGTGTCTTCCAGCATTCCTTAACAGAACAACTTGCCATCTCAATAGCTTTGTCTAGGACGGGTTCTTCATGCTCACTCGAAGATTTTCTTGCATCTACTTCTCCAAATAAACCAGCATAAGGTAGTTATGTAAGCTCTACAGTGCTCCATATCAATCCTGTCATCCACCAAGAATTTCTGCAGCCACTGGCCAACGCTAAGAGTATCCGTAGTATAGATGTACGACCCAATGGGACTACCAAACCATGCCATTTGTGCCCATTTACAGGTCAAAGGCATGTGTTCAAATTTCAATGGCTTCGATTACAAATAGGGCATATGGGGTCAGAGGCACATCTGCGACTGCGATGGAATAAAGCTTCTTTAGTAGCTAAAGCATTATTTATAACTCTCCAAATAAAACTTCTGATTTCCATACTCGAGGATCAACTGGTCTGGAAGGGCTCGCCCGTAGAGGAATGGACTTAGTCATTTTTTGCTCCATGGCTAATCTATGCCCCAAGTTTACTCTGTAATCTTGCAGCAGCCCAAATAATCTGGTCCGCTTTCCTATTGGCAGCAAGTGGGATGTTTCGAAGTAGCTGCAAATAATGATCGGATTAACAGCATGTTAGACAGCCCTAAAACTATTGTGAAAAACAGTTATTTTTTTACCTTTA